CCCTTTTGAAGTTGAGGGCTGGTGCCTGGCAGAGTGCCCAGCAGTCCCGTTTGAAGTTGGAGGCTGGCTCCCCGCGCCTCTTAGAGCGCCAAGGACGTCAATCCTTCCCGTTACCTTCATTCCCCACTTTTTCATACATGTTCCTAGGTATTATACCTATGTTTCCTAGTTGTTTCCAACACTCCAAGGTACTTCTAAAAGTCAAGAACTCATCCGTAACATGTGATCAAACACCTTGAATCCAAAATTTCAATTCAAGGTGAGTTAGTTAGAAGTCAAGTGAAGTTAGAAGTTAAGAGTTAAGCTTAGAAGTTAAGCAAGTCAAGCAAGTTGTAAAGTTGTTCAAGAGTCTTTATTGAACGTTTTAACTTCATTTTTAGACTCAAGTGTCAAGTCAAGCAAAGAGCTTAGAGTTTCAAGCTAAGTAAAGAGTCTCAAATTTCAAGTTGAGTAAAGAATTTAAGTTGAGTTCATTTCTCAAAGTTATTAGGGAACTATGTATTCCCAAAGAAGTTTTAAAGAAATGTTTTTACATTTAAACAAGGTTGGAAACTGAGATTTCCAAAAGAGCCTTCGGGATAGTTTTTGAGTAATTATCTCATATCAGCAGGAAGAAATATTTTTAAAACATAAGAGCCAGTACATTTTTGGGAGTAGTATCGAGCACCGAATTGGGGAGCGTTCAAAGAACCCACAACCCCATAGAACCATGTTAGCCACCATGGGTAGAAAAGGATCATACTTTTTAGTATTAATCCTTTTCTAGATTAGACTAGTGGATCCATTAGGCAGTTCAGGTCTTATACCTTTGGCCGGGTATAAGATGCTCTGGCAGCGTGAGGTCGGTTGCTCTATCATCACTATAACTCTCATGTGATGGTTGTCGGTTAGAGAAACTCCCACAGCAGTTATTGTATTTTTATACACATAAATTCTTGTATTTTATATACATCAGTTCAATTGTATTTCTATATACATCTCAGGCTTATTGTATCCTTGTATACACACAGAGTTTATAGCATGTTTTAAACAGT